ACATAGAATGACGATACTTTTGTAATTTCCTACTCAATCGCCCTGCAGAAATAGGTTTTATTATCTCCCTATTCCGGATACATGTAATAACGATACTATTGTAATATTCTTACTTAATCGTTCTGCGGTAAATAGGTTTTATCTCCCTATTTCCGGATACGTATAAAACAACACTATTCATATGTGTTTATCAATTTAACTCGTGATGAAAGTGTGTCAATCTAACACAATCTAGCATACATGCACTAATCTCGGTGTGCGTGTCCACATCAGAAGTTCACCATCATCCCAGGTGTTTAACAATCACTAATATCATAGTCTATCATCATAAGGTCGAGAAATCTGCTCAACAAACCAAGACCATACAATATAATCATGCACAGCCAAACAGACTGGCGGTCGACCGTGGCGGTCGACCGTGAACCAAGACGGGCTCCAGAGACTACCCAGGTCTCTGTCCTGCACGCGGTCGACCGTGAAGCAAATTTCCAGATTCTCATGTTCTTTGTATATATCGTGTTCTCGTCGTGTTTTTGTGATTCAAACATGATTAAATCTTCATGAAACTTGTATGCAAACATGTCACAGCAGATATGAACATCTGGAAATAACTCAACAATTATAAACATGATTTTATGCATTAGATTTGTATTCAAAATCCTAAAACATGCATAAAAGTTCAAAAAATAACGAATCAAACCTCTTTCTTTAGATTAACCAAATTCTTCAATCTAAAGCATGGACTTTTAACATATTAAACATAAGCATGATTGCCAATCAACTTAGGAAATATATACATTCATTAAATCATATTTTAACACTTAGGTATCACAAACCTAGGGTTTTCTCATCTTTAATCCACATGCAACCTTAATAAAAAGGCAAATTAGGGTTTAAACATGATTAGCACATGATTAACAAGATAAAAACAAATTTAAAAATAACCCTAATGATCATGATCATATTTCTATTGTAAACAGCAAGAAAAATATGTAGATCTAACATGAGTTTAAGATCTAACAATAAAAATCTAATCTTTTTCACATTAGATTAAAATCTAAGCATGTAAACACAAAATAAACTTCTAAGCTAGTTATTTAACTATGGGGATGTGTTTGGATGTAAGTGATCTTGCCTTAATATTATGTGCAAGCCTCTGAAACAATCAACAAGTAAACCACGAGCATGAACAACTCGTTCTCCCTCGCCACACGTCGATGATCTCGCCCTCGTGCCGGTGTTTTGCTTCACAAAGCTCTCCAAACTCAAAAGAAAAAGGTCCAGGGTTTTTAAGGGGAGAGGGTGGCTGCTAGGGTTCATAGATATGATAAAAGGAAAGAATTTTCATGAAAAACACAGGTATTTATAGAGGCAAACCCGAAACAAAACTGTTTGACCCGAACCAGGAAACCTAGTCTGATTAGGAAAACAACCTTCGGTATTTTGGCTGTAACTTTCTCATCGGACCTCGGAATGAGGTGATCTAAGATTTGTTAAAAATCTATTGAAGATACCTACAACTTTGGTCTTTTACACTTTTCCAAATTCTACCTGAATCGGTGTGTAAAATATAAAAACTCTCAACTGGTTATTATTCCCAGATTTTCACTCTTTTGGCCTTTGTGCATGTTTTTTGCATTTGCACTCATATTTTCACAAATATACATTAATTTGATCTCAAATCAATTCTTATCATACTCAAACTTTGCACTCATATTTTCACAAATATACATTAATTTGATCTCAAATCAATTCTTATCATACTCAAACATCTAAATATGTTATTTTTCACCTTATGACATATTTATCATAAAATATTCAAATTTACGGGGTTTTACAGTTTTACACTTATCATGGCTTAAAAAAATTAAAATCGATATTTTTTTCTTTTTACTATACAGTAGCATGGCTCTACGTGTAACTTTATTTGGGAACATGATTATGAAAAAAAGATCAATTCTTTATGACATGATTAAAGATAAGCTCATAATAGCATTATCGGATTTCATGATCTCTAAATATGAAGGTAATATACTTCATTACAAAAATTCTTATTAAAGGTCACTAAACATAAAGTTTACCTTATATCCATCTCAAATTTACTGGGAAGATATGCACGTCATCACAAACTTGTGTCATACACACACACACACACATACACACACACAATTAACTATATAAAAAATATAAATAAGAGGATGGTAAGTAAACCAAGCAAACATCCATATAATACAATAAAAAAATTATATTTTAAAGTTAATATGTAGGGCTCATTCAGAACAAGCTATCAAGACAAAAGCATCGACATCAAGGTTCTTTATAAATGCAATAAAAATTTAAGTTAGCGATATTATACATGCATCACAACATTTGAAAGAGGTATGATATTTTAAAAACCTTCTCTATAATTCACACAATTAAACCTAATTAAAATTTACTAATATACAGATATGTTATTGCATCTTTAAGGCAATATAACTACCAGCTATAGTAGACTTTAGCTGTAGCTTTACGTTTGCAAAGGCTGCAACAAGAAGGTGGATATAGATGTTAATAACGAGTGTCCAAATGATAAATGTTACAGAATCTCTAATGACTTAGGACATTACAAATGTAATACTATTTGATGTAATAAAAACTCTTATTATGTGCACAACACAAGAACCCATTGCAAAGGAAAAAATAGGTCAATCATAACTTAACTTAAATAATGAATTAGAAACACAAAAAAATTATCATATATATGAAATTCACATTGTTATCATTAACATTTATTCTCATTCAAATTACTTGTAAAGTTAGATGAGAAGATAAAAGATGAATGAGCCCAGTGAAAGATAATAACATGAGAAATCTAGGTCCAGCCTCATATCGCAATCGATGTATATGATGAAGACCCACTCCAAAATTACCCTAAAAAAAGATAAAAGTGAAGAATGCTTGATCTCGGCTCAATAAAAAATAAAACAAAAAAATAAAAGATAATATTTTTTTAATATTTTATAGAATAGCCTAATTTTTTGAGTAGAATTAGGAATATTTAGAAGAGATTTTTACAAATTTGTAAATATTTTTATATACTTATTTTGTGGACGCTTTTATTATATAAAATTATACTAGAGCTAACATTAGTATTTAGTTTATGGTTTTTAATGAAGTCTATCAATGATTAGGAATAAAATCCATATTTCCTTTTTTGTCATTTTAGCCACTTTTAATCAATTGTCTAGGCTTATTGGCTTTAATTATTCCTCTTGCTATTATAATACTATTTTTTAAGTATTTTTTACTTTTACAACTCCATACTTCCTTAGGTAAATCTTCCTTTCATGTCGATCCAAATAACATGAATATTCAAATTGGCTTCACATTAGTTTCTTGACAATTCAATTATCAACATGAAACTTAAAATTAGGTATAGCCCTTTAAGCAAATATTAAAGAAGATAAATAATCATAATATTAAATTTTAAAGACACAAGTGAGGAAAAATTATCGAATTGAAATCGAAGAACAATTTTAGTAAGGAAATAAAGCAAAAAATAAATAATTATGATATTTAACTACGTGCAATGCACGTGCATAAAAACTAGTGTGTATAGATATAGAGATAATTTTACCCTAGAAACTGTCAAAAATTTAACACCTCTTCAACTTAGGGGTAAGGTAACAAGTTGAGGGGCAAATTTTGAATTACAATTATTTAGGAGGCAAATTTGAAAATACACGAGGGCATATATCGAAGAAAACCCTTCATTGTATTAAAGATTATTTATATGTAGAAAATGCTATGTTTTTTGGACCAATTTAAATATGTCAAATAGGGTGTCTGGGAGCATTTTTTAGTCAAACTAGCTTTTAAGTTAACTTTTTCATATGTACTTATTTGGTAAAATATCAAATAAAGTAGTATATAAGTCCCATTTTAAAAAGTTGGTGTACCCAAGCTTCTCAAAAACTGGCTTATAAGTTTATTTAAATAATCTAAGTTTGACCAAACTAAATTATTATTCTATCAAAAAATTCTTATATAATTTTTGTTATAAAAAACAAAAGCCACAAAAAGTTGAGATAGCTTAAAGGCTTATAAAACTAAGCCCGTCCAAAGATCATAGCCTCTCCATCAAATCGGAATCTCTGATTTATTTAAAGAAAAATTCATAACTTTTGGATTAGGATTATGATTGAAAAAGAAAACCCATATGCGGTTAGAATAAATACTTTGCATAAATATACTTATTTTATTCCTTTTCATTTTTCTATTTATGTAAAGCTAAATAATTTTTTTGAATTCCTCTTGAATAAAATTGTCTAGTTTCAACGCACCATGAGTGATCCGGACGGTTAATAGGTTTCAATATAATTCCCATGATCTTGGATTCGATTCTGTACTAGGTTATGAAAAAAGAAGAAGAAATAGTCTAATTTCAAAAGCGCTAGAAAGAAGACTTGTTTCCACAATGGAATTGCATTTGCTTATTTTTTATGTCACGTGCACAATGCATGCCCATTTTAACTAGTTATGCTAAAGGGCTTTTCAGATATTAGTTTCTCAAAGCTTCAATGACTTCATATTAGAAATCTTTGAAGTTGTCTATATTCCTCGGGGCCTATTCTTGCAATTTGGTACCTCAATTGCCACAACACCGCTCAACTTATATTTTTTGAGTGGACATGTTTGGACTTCTCAAGGGGAAAGCATTAAGATGAAAGTTAGTTTTGGTAATTGAGGGACCAATTTGCACGAGTTTGTTGAACTTGAGGATGTGTGATCAATTTTGAAGATTTGAGGGACTGATATTGAATTGTTCGAGAGTTGAGGTGCTAACGTCAAAAAAATACCGATGCCGAACAACAAATGTTTCTCGGATGATAATGAAATTACACCTGAAACCAAGACGGAGGGCAGTTAGGGTTTTTCAGTAAAGGGTATAATGGTAATCTAGTAATAAAAGATAAGAGAGGGCTCCTTCATTTTGACCTAAATGCCCTCTTGTTTTCGCCTCAGTCATCGCCGTAACCCTCTTCTGCCCTTTTGTTCCCTTCAAATTCTCCATCTTCCTTCTCTAAAATTCTCTCTGTGCCCTTCTCAATTCTCCCTAATTTTACCCTTCAATTTACCCGCCATTTGCCCGTTCGAAACTACCCCGATTCCTGATGAACCCGAGCTCGATCCTCTCAAATTCTCAGAGTGGATTCTGGGTTCTACGGTTCGGCGTGTGCTCTGATGTTTCGCCATGGAAAGCTCGGTTCTTGATCTGACTTCTTTCTTGGACTGCGAGCGTTTACATCAGTCTGCTCATCAATCTGATATTTTTTGTTCGGTAAACTTTTCCCCCATCTGAATCTTCGGTTTCTTTTGATAAAGGTGTGAAATTTCCGCTAAAGATGAGAACTTTGATTGAAAGACTTCATATAACTAGGTGTTGTATGTTAAATATGAGAACTTTTTACCAACGTTCAGAGGAAATTGTGTACTGATCAGCGCAATGTTTTTTGAGTTATGCCATTTAGTGCATATGCTTTTATTTATTTATTTATTATTATTATTTTTTTTTTGTCTTTATGATATCCGTCGGATAAAATGCGAAATTTGTAATAGGTCACCAAATAAAAACAAATATTATAAAATAAGTCTCAGGTTTTTCAAGTCACACAAATAGATTATTCTAGTTAAAATTTGTTATTGTAACCTATAATTAACTAATGGTTGTTTTTCATGCCAACTTTGTCATTACTTCTGCTGTCTCTGTGCTCTGCTGTTGCCACCACTTTCATCGCTGCTGCCGCCTACAGTTGTTGTCTTGTGCTGAAGGTAGAGGTGTGTAAACTCGGGTAGGGTTAATTTTAGTGGATAGTTAAACCGATTCGAGTTAGATTTCAACAGAAGGCGACCTATTTTGTGCAACTTAAACAAATCAGGTATTTATTTTATAATATCATCTCTTGGGGACCCCATCTTTGGGGGATCAATACCAGAAAAAGGCTAATTTCTTTCACACTTTGATTTCGTTTATTTGGAGCTATAGTTTTTAATTTTCTTCTTGATGATGTTGTGTGATGGTCCATTTGGTACCATATTGACTATATAGTTGTTTTGACATGAGTTTATAGAAATTTAGGGTTTCTCCTTCTAACAACTACCTTTTAGAGGTGAATTCTCCTAGTCTCTAATAACCTCATCGTAGTATCGGTACACGTGAAGTATCACATCAGTTCTCCTAGTAACTCCTTCCGTGCCAGAGTCCAAGATTCTTCCTTAGACTTATCACTCCAATGATACCATAGAAGAAGGCTCCCTTTGAAATATAGTGGAGCATGCTTGAACTTTTGTGATACCAAAATCTCATGTAATATTTAAGAAGTATACTTGAGGATTGAGGATGGGTGGTACAAAATGGAGCTACTTGCATTGTGCTAAGATGGACTCAGATGAGTCAGGGATGCCTTGCCTTGTCTCTGTACCCTCAACAATCAATTTTCTATTTGTTAGACGAGGGTAAGTTGAGTCTTGAACCCATCCACTTAACCCCTAAATGTTCTCAAATCAGCTGCGTGCTATGTATACCGCGCCCTTCAAAGGCCTAATGTCGATTTTCATTGTTGCCTTGCTAGCTTCTTGTGAGGAATTTCATACTCTATACCAAAACTTTAGGTACCATAGGCTCTTTGACCTCGCCTTTAAACTGTCAATCTCATATACAACCTACAATGGGTATAAAATATGTTATTCAGAATGA